CGAAGCACGGAGTAGCTCGAGATAATAATTTTTGGGTCATGCATCCCGTGACCATGCCATGGCGCTTATCCACTACGCCACCGAGCTACTAGCCTGATACAAATACGAGAAAAACGGAAATAATTCGATATAAGCCTGGAATATTTTTAATCAAGTTTGTGAGCCAATTACATAAGACTACGATATTTAAGAATTAAGAATATTTCCACGGGAATATTGGTATGCAATATTTCCATGGGAATTTTCATTGGATTTAAAACAAAATATACTTAACGCAATATAGTAATATCGATTGAAGTCGTATTTCATTGTTAATATTGTTGTTTTTTTTTTATTATTATTTTTTAATATTTAAGTCCATGTTTTTATAAAAATATGAGTTTCCAAATATAATATTAGGAAAATTTATGTATTTCATGGAAGTAACATAAGTAACAGCGTGAAAATACGTAGAAGTCCCTTTATACGTATTTTGCTTATCATGCCATTGAGAAATTAAAGGATTTTTTTTTACTAATAATCTGAAAGAAAATGTCGATGGATTAATTCATATATTAAAAAGGAAATATATGATACTTTATAATAAAAAAAACAGCTGTCATGCTTTAATATTTGATCTCCATACTGAAAGTTGGTATTTGTATCAGGCTATACTCTACATATGCCTGACCACATCTAAATAGTGAAGAATCAACCAGCCCTTGTCTCTTATGTATCGATCATTCATTATACCTATTAATATACACACATCAACATCGTCTAGCGACATTTTAATTATTCTTAATTTTCTCAGTATTTTTTTTTAAATAACATACAACATGTTTATATTTTCATAAAGCCCATTTATTAGCGTAGATTAATATAGAATAAAACATAAATATTTTTTTTGTACCTAAAAATAAATTATTTAAGTAAAGACGAAAAGTAGAACAATGGTAAAAATAACTATAAATGTGTTTTTCAAGAAAAAGTGAAAAATATAGCGAAATTGTTCCGTTATTTGCAATTTTGGGAAAATCAATAGTCAGTAAAACCACCCATGACATTAACAACAGTCCTGGAACGATTTTTCATGCTTCGAATTAACTTATCAAAGTCTTGCTGCGGGATATTGTCCCAGGTCAGGACCTGGGACAATCTTTCCAGGGAAAGATGCAAAAAAAGCTGCTCTTCAGTGTGTCCTATGGGGTTTAGGTCTGGTGATTGCGCGGGCCAGTCTAAGATCGATACATCGTGCTCCTGCAGTCAGCTGGTGACCACTCGCGCTGTGTGGGGACGAGCATTGTCGTGCATGAGCGTGAATTCTTAACCCATTTGTAGTCGATGTGGGTAGACTATTGGTACTAGCACTTGGTTGAGGTATTTTTCAGCGATTATGGTGTTTCTGATTCCAAACACGAATTCCCGCCCAAACCATAATCGTCCAGCCATGGTATGGATGAGCTTCCTGAGGGTGTTGCAGGTGGCTCTCACGGCCAGGAGTTCGCGATACGCGTACTCTTCGCGAATCAGGATGGAAACCGAATCGGGACTCATCGGTAAACAGCCCTACAGACCACTGGCTACCTTCCCAGAGCAAATGTTCACGAGCCCACTGTAATCTTATTCCACGTTTTCCTCGGCGTAGTGCAGGAATACGAAGCAGTTATAAATACTTAATACAAAAATCTAAAAACGGGACAAATACAATAACGTTTTATTATTAGACAAGTCATACTCGTATCATTGAGTTTTAAAACAGCGTAAATTTTATTGTGGTAGCGTAACATTATAATACAACCACAAATGGCGCGAAGAAATCAAAAATATTTATCTCCCTATCAGACTTGGCGGGAGCACTTCCGTGCCCTCGGATTCATCATTCCCATATTAATAATATAATCTTTTAAAGATAAGTTTAAAAAGGATGGTGTATTAAAGTAATAATAACATAGAATAAAAATATAATTATGACGCTACCGTAAAGAACAGTTATTAAAAGAAGGACAGGACGAAAATACCAATCCCACTGACGCAGAGTAAAAAAATAAGACCTAGACAAGAAACGAAGAATGGTATCTAAACAAATGAATAACAAAATCCATTCTCTTTAAATACACTTCTAATATCTGTGAATACTGAATAGCGGCCCGCCTCTGCTTCGCACAGGTAATTTTTACATTAGGATCCCTAAGGTTTTTGTTATAAATATTCTTTCACCTATCCTATGTTCATCCAGGGATAATGCAGGATTCTAATTCTAAAATCCTCCCACATAATAATAAAAGTATAGATATTAAAATCGTTTATAATCTTTTTATATACTTATGGGAGAGGGATTTGTTAACAATTTTTGGTAAAACTTTCCCATGGGAAACGATAACGAAATAGAAGCAGGTGGAGTTTAGAAAAAAGCCAATCCATAGCTTTTCCATTCAAATGGTATAAAAATACATTTAAATGTAAGTACAGGTGTCGCAGTGATTCAAAAATAATTTGCAAACACCAGCCAAGGTATGATATATTATGAACATACAACAATGACGTGTTTGTCATTTAACTGATACTGTACGTTACATACGTATGGTATTGAAAAAAATAGCAAATATTGAAGTTATTAACTTTTCCACATTCACATAATAATACCTCAATAATTTTGTTCATTATAAAATTGTAATGGAATAGTGGTTTGCCAAATCGTGTTAGATATCAAATATGTAAATAGTGCAATTAGTTACTTCCTTTATTAATTAAGCGAAGGAACTGACTAATTTTGATAACCACGTGCCGTTAATAATAGTCTTAGGGCGTTTGTGCACTACAACCGACCGATTTTTTCCGGTCCGATATGTCAGGCCATAGATAGGTAGGGCGCTTGTGCACTACACTGAATTTTCATGTCCGACGGTCCGATATGTCAAGCCATATGTAGGTAATGCTAGCATGTACACTGTCAGAAATTTTACCGTCAGGAATTTTACTTTTCTCTTCTCCGGATGGGATTTTCAGGTCCGTGATGGCGGCAATGAAAAACGTGTTAACGATTGATGAAAAATCTATATTTAATTTAATTCAACGATATTGTTAATTTTCGATATACTCATAATCGATATTTATTGTAGATTATATGATGATTTATATATATATATATATATATATATATATATATATATATATTGCTATATATATATATTATATAGTTGGTAAATATCACTGCATATGCTCTTGCAAACTTGATATAGTTCTAATGGTTCTAGTATCGATACTTTGCTAGATTCTAGAATCGTATTAAAATTATCGATAACTTAAGGCAAGACAAATAAGTGTTGTTACGCTTAGATACCTAAACAACTGAACCCATCTTAATAGAAATAGACTTAACCTTTAGAAAGGACATAGGCTACCTTTTATCACAAAAAATTGGTGGAAATAGAGGTTGAAATTTTGCATGGCAATTTGTCATTATCAAAATTTTTTTAGACAATTGATAAGATAAGTAGTAATAAATATTTGATAACTGAAGTACTCTGAAAGAAAAAGAATTCTGCTCAAAGAAACTATACCACGCGTATAAAATAAACCAACTGATCTTACAATGATTATAGTTAAATCATGACATCTTAAACTTACAATAGGATGGCAAATCTAAATGACACCGTAAAATTCTTCAGAAAATTAATTCTCCGCTTACACTGAATGGCGTCAACAATTGGTCTATGTCTGTAATCGCTTGAAGTTGTTTAGTTGTTTTTACAAAACTTCGAATAAAAATTTCACGATTATAAATTTAAACATCAAGTACGAGAACATTATCAGTAATTTTATTCCAATGTCAAAGATATTTTTACTTTTATATGTGAATAATACTGTTCCTAAATAAGTAAGGGCATAAGTTTTTACATCCGATAGTCGTAAAAAAATGCTATCTCAATTTATTGCGCTTTATGTAAAATGACCCTGTCTGGTACCTTTCACTTATAAAGTGAAGAACCAAATATTTTTTCTGTCTTCTACGTCTTCGCACGTAGAGTAACAAATCAAGCAATTGTCGACGTTCCAAAATCTCATCGTACATAGCGTAAGCGACGTGTAGCTTCAAGTAGAGCTGCCCTAAACTGCGCCGCTTCGATCCGGAAAAAACGAACAAGTGCACAAACTACTCATCTAGGTTTTTCATGTCATTTCGGACCGAAAAAATCGGACTACCGGACCTGAAAATTCAATGTAGTGCACAAACGCCCTAAGAATTTGAGCGATCATTCAGTGTATGGAAGGAAAAGAACGTGCGTTTTGTAGCGATCGTTATTACATTACGATTTTTTTTTAAAGTTGACGTCTACCTTTGAAGACATTGATTGGTCTGTATATTTTTTTATGACTTGATTAATACTATTATTTTAATTATTTTCGGAAGTTCCTTCGGTTATGCAATGAAGGTTTACTGCGTATACCACTACGTTTTGTTTGTCTACGAACGGAAATTCAGAAGAATTCGAACCGTTTTTATTAAAATCATGTTATTGAAGATCCTGTGCATCAGAGGCAGCGTCAGGTCCTACCTCCGTTGCATCATAAATTAACGAAAATCTACGTTTCTTTGGAATCATTATAGAGTTTCGAAAATAAAGGAAATTACGTTTTCGGAGAAAAAAGTAAATCTTCTGGCCTGGCAGTAGGAGATTTCCAGAAAACCCGAATGTGTCGTCTCGGTCACGGGCGGTATGATAACATATTCCCTCTACCTTAAATAAAATAAGACGATTACTGTTATATACAGGGTAAACCACGTAAAACACCAGCAACCTCACCGGGAAAGATAACTATTAGGTATTATGGAAAATAATATTTGATCATTTTTAACATAACTCATTTATCACACTTAGTTTAAACATGATTGTAACATTTATAAGTCTATGTTTAATTCATAAACGGAACGCCGACGCCGACGTTAGGCCCGTTTTAATACGATTCTAGAAAAATACAATTTTGACGTTCGAAAGCCGATTCGTGGTAGAGCCGCAGGAGTCCCGCAGCTTTAAGTTGTTAGTATTTTACCAATAACCCTGTATAATACAAATTACTGTGATGATCGTGGGAAACAATAAAAACAAATCTTTTAGATCGCACAACAGAATGACGTGGCAAACTTTTTTTGGCATATAAGTTTGAGGTGGACCACCCTTATCACTTAGGGATAAAAAAATAGACAATGACCTATTCTCAGTCCTATCGAATATACATATTTCCCGTTTCGGAGGAATATGGTAATTAAAACTGTGACACGAGAATTTTATATATTATATTTTACCAAAATGTTCGCGTCTCCTCTGGTCTTATTCAAAGGTTTTATCTCTTATTTCTTCCTTCTGGCCCATGACAGTGTAGATTTATATACTCAAAGGAATGCGTTAGTCAATATAGTTACGGTCGCTGTTCAACCCCAATCGTTTTCCCAGTAGTAATTTGTTAATCTTTTATTAATATAAATTTCTCTTTATTAAGTTTAATAAGTTAGTTACGGATCCGAAAACAATTTAAAGGCTTTATTCAATAAGTCGACGTATGTTTATTTCTGACTGTGAGTCTATTATTATGTTACTTTGTCTACAGTGCCAGATGTTCTATTAACTCAGCTATTGTGTTTTCATATTAATTGATCTGTTTTCCTTAGTTCGTTTATTGGTATCCACGTTTCAGCTCCAGGATGTTGTGGCAGCCGATAAATTTAACGCAGGCATGCCCTGTTAATACTCATATAGAAGCGTGTTCATATTTCGGTTATGTCTACTTGAACCTCCTGATTCGTTTATATGGTGATTCAGAAGATAGAAGAACCCAAAAGAAGTTAAATTTCAGAGAGCAAAATGACCATACTAATAAAATAGTGGAAAATTTGTATCACTATGAAAATATATTTGACGATGATGAGAGAGCTGAACAGTATGATTTCATTGTGGTTGGAGCGGGAGCCGCTGGCTGTGTCGTGGCTAACAGATTATCAGCAAAAGAAGAATGGAAGGTAAGAATTTTTTGTTAGTAATACTTATAGTGTATTAAAGGTGTGGTTAAATACGCCACTATGAAAAGTTACGTTATAATCGGTTCCTATTCCCAATAATTTACAGGTGCTCCTTCTAGAAGCAGGTCCTGAACAACCAGACGTTACCCTTGTCCCAGGGCTATCCACCGCACTGATCGGCTCTAACATCGACTGGGACTATTCCACAGAGCCCAACGGAAAAAGCTGTCTCGCTAGACCTGGAGAACGTTGTAGCTGGCCTCGGTAATTAATAGTTTTATTTTTTATAGGAAACCTTTTTCGATGTGATATACTTACACCATACTTTTTGTTTCAAAGAAAATGCGGGTTCAGTTTAGTTCTTCATTGTTTATTAACATATTGATATCGATATTATCGTGATATAAATTAGGGACAACAGGAACTAACTTTGCTAGAAGATCAAACTGCAAGAAAATATAACGCAACATAAAGTAAGGTCATACTAAGATTATAAATAGGAAAATTTTGTATGTTTGTTTGTTTGCATCGAATAGGCTTCGAAAGTACTTGACCGATTTTAAAAATTATTTCACCAACGTGTAGCTACATCATACGGAGTTGATGTAGGCTCAAATTTACGTCGCAAGAAAAATTCTAGTGCTTCCACCTCCCGAAAGTCTTGCAGTAAACTAAAGGTAGATAAGTCATTTAAAGATTCGTAAGAAAATTAGAAAAAATATATATTTTGTTTCGGGATGAACCACTTATTTCAACATCTTTTGAATTAAGACACAGTTAACTAAATAACAGCAGCGTAAAATAATACCAGTGTGTTCTGGTTTCATTACGAAACTGCGTTCATCAAAATGTGCACGAAGACCTTTAAACAAGCCATTGCGTACAGACAGTGAAGCATTACGCATAACTTGACGGCAGCAGAGAACAAACGGACATCTACATTTACGGTCACTTTTTTGAGTAAAACGCTTTAGAATACTGTATCACGTAATTATTTTTCATGCCTGAAATATTAAAACTTTTCGAGATATGTCCACGTACATAAAGATAACTAAACACCAATTTCACAAAGCAACGATGTATACACGGACATTTGTAGTAGTCCGCATGTAGTTCGGTCAAGTAAAAGTTGACAGTAACATGTCCACTTTGACAAGGCTGAGTAAAGACCTAGCAGAAAGCTTCGTGAATAATTCAGATGAAAGCCCTAGTAATTATCACTAGTAATTTTCGATTTTCAAACAATCCTGTGTGCTAACCACTATTCTTGTTGAAATAAGATTTTTCTACTTAAGGCTCTAGTTATCAGTTTTAAATTTAACATACTTTGATATGAGCAACGAAATACGGATTTTTTGTATGCGGTATGAAACTTTTGTCAAGCGAGGGTCTAACGAGGTAGCCAGCTTCTTGTATTACTTTATACGTTTATGACCCGATAATTGTGGCTGATAAAAACTTAGATATATTTTTAAGCTACTCAAAATCGTAATGTTTGTATTTGCCATCGATTTTTTTTTATGTCACAAGAACTTGATACTGATGCGCTAATTGTAAGATATATACAGCTCATGAATGGTACATTTGTGTATGATGGTATGAATTGACCGGACCTTAAATATTTCTGAAGATTCTTTCCTGAGAAGTAATTAATATTTGCTTTTTGGAATCGTGATTATATACAACATATATGTATACATTAATCATGTTTTAAATACATATATCACTATTATTTTTAACTCTTTTCATTATTTTGATAACACATATCGTTATTTAATTAATCTTACATTATAAACATAATGAAAACATAAACATAATGAAGGAATCAGTCTAATTTCCTATATTTATGAATGCCGGTTTTATAAAGTAAAAAATGACAACATTAACTGGTTTAATACTTGTAAATTTAGTAGTTTAAAAGTTAACAAGCCCAGCGTATAGAAATATATGTGGTAGTTGACTCATTTAGTATAGTGTTTGTTATGAAGTAAATAAAGCCATGTGACAGTGTCTCTAAAAGTAAACAAAAAGTAGAATATCTGTGGTGACCACTTGGTAGGTAATTTTTTGTTTAGTAAAGTAAGCCCAATTAGGAAAATAATACTAGTTTAAAACACTTCAAATCTCTAAAATGCTGTCCTATAAAAGCGTTTTCATGTCCGTATGTTCTTTGTGTACGTCGAACTGCTCACGCCCTCGCAATGAAAGTAACTTTTTACACACTACAGAGTCGACTATGCCGCTATGTAATGGATTGCAGGACCATTTAAATTTATATTGAATCAAATTTCATTATTTTTTCAGTGGTAAAGTCATGGGTGGATCCTCTTCTATCAACTCCATGGCGTATATAAGGGGTAATAAAGTTGATTACGACGAGTGGGCAGCCCTAGGCAATCCAGGTTGGAGTTACGAAAACGTAAGACATATGTATCATCGTCTTTTACTACAAGCCTTTAGGAACCGTAAGGTTGAATGTTGGTCCCTAATGTGGTGACGGAGACAAGTGGCCAGGGAGACTAAAGGATAATTGTCTCCCTCCGAGCTAGGTGTTGTTAGCCCGGGGACCGCGGTCCAACCGATGTAGGTTGGACGTTCTATTTATGCTAATTAGTAATGTAACTTATTCTGTGCGATGTAGGTTTCTTTGTTCTAAATGTCTCACTTATTGCAGTTCGTCTTGCTATCGATGGCTGTGACGATGCTAGTCTTCTCGCTATCGATTGTTGTGGCGATGTTACTGCTATGAATTAGATGTCGCTATGTATCAGTCGCCACAGTCTCACTTATTGCAGTTCGTCTTGCTATCGATGGCTGTGACGATGCTAGTCTTCTCGCTATCGATTGTTGTGGCGATGTTACTGCGATGAATTAGATGTCGCTATGTATCAGTCGCCACAAGCCCATATATTTTCGTCATAATAATATTATGAAGGAAAAGTGGAAATGTATGTGAAATATTGCTTGTTGACAAATATTGTATAGAAATTTTTACAAACTACCGTGCAATATTTATTGATATAATATTAAGGTACTTTTAGTACTTAGACTTTTAGCAAGTACAAGTGATAGTTAGGAAAGTGTCACTGTAGTTGTAGTTTCAAAGATAATTTTGTCAACCTACAAAATTTCAAAGTTAACTACACCAAATAAAACAGGATCCCATAAGTACGTTTATCTTTTTTCTATAAAAACTTGTCATATGTGGCATAGATACACGTTTAAATTTTCTACTCAACTGTTTTGCAGGTTCTGCCATTCTTTAAGAAATCGGAACATAACTTAAACTACGAAGCACTGAATAGAAAATATCATGGTGTCAATGGCGAACAATATGTCTCCAGATATCCTTACATTGACGACCCTTCTCTCATGATGACTGATGCTTATAATGAAGCAGGTTTACCACTTGTCGATTACAATGGTGCCCAACAACTGGGAACAATGCAAGCTCAATCTATTGTAAAAGACGGAGAAAGAATATCTACCAACAACGCTTTTATACAATCTATTAGATATAAAAGGGATAATCTTATTGTCAAACCTAATGCAGAAGTCATTAAAATATTAATAAACGACCATAAGCAAGCTTACGGTGTGATATATGTAAAAAATGGAAAGAAAATCTCTGCTCTTGCTAAAAAAGAGGTTATAGTAAGTGGCGGCACTATTAACTCTCCGAAACTATTGATGCTTTCAGGGATAGGTCCTAAAGAGCATTTACGCGATTTACATATAGATTTAGTACAAGATTTGGCTGTTGGTGAAAATTTACAAGATCATCCAACTTTCAATGGATATGTTATTGCACTCCCTAATAAAACAGCGACGTCTGCAAGTCAGACAGAAATTCTGGACCAAGTAGATTCTTTTAAATATTCTGATATCAAAAATGGGCCTCTTTCAGGCAATGGTGCTGTTAATTCGATATCTTTTATTAAATCAGATCCATATTTACCAGCACCAGACATCCAATTTCAAGCTGATGTCACTAATTGGGAGGAATATATCAAGGAGCCTACTGTAGTTGATTCTATAACCATTTTTCCTACCTCATTTTACAACGCGATTTTGCCTCGGACAATGAATTTAGTGCCCAAAAGTAGAGGGAAAATATTATTAAACAGTACCAATCCATACGGTAGTCCATTGATATACGCAAACTACTTCGGCGACTCGAGAGACTTCATACCTATTGTAAGGGGAGTAAGGTTCCTTTTATCTTTAGAAAATACTAACGCGTTTAAATCTAGAGGAGCATATTTCATAAGGACTCCTTTGGAAGCTTGCAAGCACTTAGAATGGGGAACCGATGATTACACTTTATGTTTAGCACAGTCTTACACTTCTTCAAGCTATCATCCTGTAGGAACATGTAAAATGGGCCCTAAAAGTGATAGAAATGCTGTAGTGGACCCAAGATTGAGGGTATATGGTATTCATGCTCTTAGAGTTATTGACGCATCAATTATGCCGGTTGTACCTCGAGGCAACACAAATGCTCCGAGTATAATGGTTGGAGAAAGAGGCGTTGCATTTGTTCTTGAAGATTGGCTTGGAAGTCATTGATATTTTAATTTTACAATGAGAAAGTATTAAAAAAAAGCATTAATTTCCGAAATCAAACTAGATGTCGCTACGGTACTTTCTTGATTTCTCCATGACAACCCTTCCGGTTTCATGTATAAAAGTAAATCAACTTTCAAAACTCAATATACAACTCATATTCTACTTGTACTTTTCGTATTTGTATAAATATCTAAGTTTTGAATTTTGCAAATTTCAATTTTATAATGTTAGTGAAAAGGAACGGAAACGACTATCTTTTGTTAATTCGTTTCCTGCAAAAATCAACTTCTGTTAGAGTGCCATCTAGTGAGGTGCTTTTTAGTGCTTTCCTTTTTCTTAAAAAATATAGAAAGTGATTTAAATAATATCGAAGTCAATAAATAAATTGAATAAAGAATTTAAGACCAAAAAGAATTATGTAACCTAAATAATAATTATGCTTTTTACTACGCCGTTTCATTTATACTATCATAATAAAAAGCAATTATATAACGATATCCTCTATGATTATTTTTCCTTGTATCTTTAAAATGACCGGATGACATAATATTAATAATAATATCAAATCTTTATTTACACAAATATGGTTATACATGTTATTAACAATTTCTAAATGCCCAGCATATTTTGTCGTCATACGGATATAAATGACACCACATAAAATGAAAAGCATTATTTCCGCATGCTATTGTAAATGGTGCATCAAATTTAGTTACATTAATGCTAGATGGCGTTACTGCTTTTTTTTAACTCGCAGTGTTAAGATTTTTGCTCCGATATAGACTAGCCCTCCAAGGGCTTACGAATTCATACTTACCTGGCGTAGGGGATACCGTGATCAGGAAGGCGGTTCCCCCAGGGCGAGGCCCCTCCATTGCACTGCGGTGGGGTTGACCCCTGCGATTATCCCTAATGTGGATAACTCGGACGCGTAATTTTTGGTAGTGGGGACTGCGTACGCGCTGTCCCCCTTCAATCTTAAAAAGCTTATTGATGTTTCAATAATTCAAGTCAGGGCAGGGCTATTTAACAGTAATTAATAACTGTTTATTAGCGTTTTCTTGTATTGTAGAACTAAAAATAATTTTCGACCTTGGATGTCTACGAATAGTATAGTAACTAAATTAATGTATAAAATTGCCTCGGAGAGAAGTCCATACCAAAAACTTGAAAAGTAGGATATTCTGGTAATATAATTTTACGCACTTCTAAACAAAGGATAATAATACTAGTTTATAAGAAGCCCCAAGCGTTGGAGTGTATTTTTTAATGTGGATTGAATATTTAATACAATTAACCGAATGTTGGTATTTGAGGTTTACAGGTTCGTATTCGATAAATACTAGTACATACCTATAGCATTTGGATTATTAAATGCAAAAATTATCAATCATACTAATAATCTCTATAACTTACGGTGCTACGTAATATGGATATGTATGTTGGTCTAGAAAGACATTATAATAGGTATGCATCATTTTATTTTAAGATGAACTACGGGTCAAATAAAACATAAGACTTCATTTACCATTATTTTTATTCTGTTTTTTGTTCCAGTAAATTAAGAATAGATTATAATTATGGTAAGGGTATTACAAAAATAAAAAAATACTTCATAATGTTGTCTGCATTTTCTCAATATTACAAAGATTTCATTAACTATTTCCAATTCAATTATATTACACTTACAGTTAAGAAAGTCTAATCATTTATCAGTAATTATTTCTAAAACCACAATAATCATTTAGAATTTCATCAATGCAATAATGGCATGGTAAAAATTTAATAACTACATTTCAAATATTCTGGATCTTATAAATATCAATGATTGGCAAAATGCCCTTAAATTGCAACAATATTATGTTATTGACGAAATTGAATACATAGTTAAAAATTCACAATTTTTCACAAAATCAATTCGACTGCTAATCAAAGCCGGCAAGCATGACGTTAATTCATGCAACCAATACTAGATGGCATTAGACGCCTAAGTAAAAACGACAAGGCCAAAATGGCTTTCGCGACCAAAACAAGAGGTCGGTATTTTTTTTTCTCGATATGTTTATCTTCATCGAATCACTTCTCTGGCAATTTAATTACTGGCATTTGAGCATAATCCCAATTTGACTCGCAGTGTCTGATCAAATCTCTCTCCGATTCTGTTAAAATGGACAAATCAATTTCTTGACTGTCGCTAAATGGATCAGTGTAAGGATAATGGACCAGTACACAGCTAAAATCCAAGTTTGGGATATCGCAGCCCAATAACTTCTTTAATTTCTTGTCGGAGTCTACTTTGATGACGTAGATACCGTTTTCTACACAAAAAGCTTGCAGCAATACTTCTTGCATGTGTGTTGCACTGTCGCCAGGCGGTGCAGTTAGGCAGAAAAGTGCTCCGTTGCTATTCTGGGAGAGGTACTGAATGGCCGGAAGAAGGCCAATAGTCAATCTCTTTTCGACGCAGGCCGTAAGTAGCACCGTTTTGATGCATTGGCTGACAGAACTGCAAAGATAGAAAGAAAACATTATGAGTGATTTTATTAAAAAAAGTAAAACTAAAGGGCTTTTAAATTTTCAGAAGAATTGTATACAAATTAAAAAGTAGAATTCACCGATACTGGGTAATTCTGTAAATTATCTATTTTTAGTCACGTTACATTTTTTAAACAAGATTTTTTTCCAGAAAATTATAAATATGGTGCAACGTGTTTTTATCTTTCAGTTGAAACTATTACATAATAAAATGTCTATAATAATTCTTGTGAAAATGATATTAATGAGGATTATAGTTTTCTAGCCTACACTAGAAAATCCTGATAAATAAAGAGTCTTAAAAGAAAACTTAAAAAACTGAAAGAGAAGCTTTAGTTGAAATTTCTTTAAGTTTGAGTTTTTAAAGGTTTAGGTCAGTTCATTTGCAGTTTTATTTTATTTTGATTTAAAGTATGTATGAAGGTGTTCAATAATCACCTTTTGGCAGCCACCCCACTGAATGTCTCCGCTTTCACAGGAACAACTGAATCCTCGTACATCTTCGCTTTTTTCAAATTAATACTTCGTATGTTATAATAGTTATTGTCACAATCCTTCGGCACTTTGCACAGTTTTGGGGAAATTGTCACAAATTCACTTGCACTAGACACGATGAAGGTTGCAATCCCAATTGGCAGCAAGTTCACAATCTAAGTTGCGCAACTTATGTCACAATAATTTCACAAGTTCACGAGCAAAAATGGCGTAGTATCACTCTGAGCGTTAGTTGTGGAATGCATGATGTGACGTTGACCCCCCATTTATATCAGACGCGTCGTACTCTGTATACTGTCAGTGTGTGCGTGGTATTCGTACACGTCTGACGAACACACCACAGACGCTTAATTTCTGGAAATTAGTTAATATTATCATTGTGAGTGTGTCGATATTATAGTGTGCGTAGAGCATTTCACCTCGAATTGCCTCGAACTACGCTGATAGTACTGGTCGCAACGTGTTTCTTCGTAGTATTTTCCAACCGGTGAGTTTTACCCACCCCCCTTTGTAAGCGACAGATGGGGGATAAAGTTTTATTAATGTGTGTGTGCGATATCAATGTGTGTTAACGTTTTATCCGATTGCGTTCGGTGCGCGGCACGGGATTCCCAACGCTTGGGGTTTTTAGTACGAGGAAATACAGTACTTACTTGGCGCTTTCAAATTGGGTTAAATTCTTGGACAGAAATTTGAAGTGCAACTTGTATAAAAAAACTTTTATTTGCTAATTGAGCAATCTATTAAGTAATGTGGAAATTGTTCTTTTTGATATCCACCTGTTATGGATAAGATTACCTACCTATCTACTCTTGATAACATAATTGAGGTAAAATCTAACATGAAATATCGTAAAAGCTATGTTTAGTGTTGAAAAGATAATTTGATATTGCTGTCGTCGATTAGTATGAATTGTACATGTTTTTCAATCCTTACCATGTCAAGGTCACAGTTACTAAACATACTGTCTAAGTTACATAGACTACCTAAGTTTTAATCATTTATCGTTTACACCTGCATTAGGAATAACCATTTTAAATTTCGAAGAGCATCAATCGTTTATAAACATCGCTTTTACTATAAGAATAACCGGCCATTGCTCTAGTCGTGTTTGAAAGAAGTGGAAAGTAGTACAAATAACGGTTTTCTACAATCTTTTTAATAAATATTATGTCTTTTACCATACAAAATAGAACAGCATTCTCCGTTATAATGGAAACAATAGACTACAATTCGTTGGTCAATGGACTGTTGAATAAGAGTGGTATAATAAACAATGATATTAACAAAACTTAAACACGTCCATGTGATTCAAACTTACCTACCGTAAAATATGTCTAAAAGGTAGTAAAGGAAAGGTATAGCTAAAAGGCATAAGTGGTGTATTCATCAGATGTCAATTGGATAACGCAGCATTTGAAAGTAAACGAGAGAGAAAAAACCTAAAATATGAGTTAATTATATTAAACTTATTGCTACATTGTTTATAATAATCACACTCTTATTCCATATGAGAGTATATAATAAGTATTCTACGACCAAAGGTTTTGGACTAGTTGTAACTTGTCGGTTAGATAGAGCCTAATATATTGACACAACTTTAACCCTTAACACCACTCGGTATTTTCAGCCTACATATCTACACTCGTGGGGGAGCTATGTCCCCACTTTTTATGGTTATTATTCAAGTAATAAAATATAGGATATTTTAGGATTTATATTTATAACATAAATAAAAAACATATATTCTATGAAAATAAACACTTTTATTTAGGTTTCATAATCATAATTAATATTTCTAGTGTGAAATAAAAAAACTACGAAAAATCTCGTCACATTCATGGGGTCTATTTTACTGACTCAATATAAATAAATAAAAAATGCTTTGGAACAAAAAATTTTTTTTTCTAATAACCTATATTACTTTTTAACCAAAACTGTCATAAAATCTTGAATAAATTTTAAAACATGCAAAATCACAAGGAGAATATTCGACTTAGTTTACCAAAAAAAATTTACCTTAATCTGTTAACATATTATCAGTCTCATTAAATTACTCTCAAAAATTTGATTATAACGTACTTAAAACTTATGACTCACATTTAGTACATATTTTTACATCAACAGAGTGGTTCCGACAAACATTTTTCACACATTTCAAACACACCCTTGGAGTATTACTGTCTTTGCTTCGTGGACACAAATGACACCTAGATTTTTTAGCCCCTTGCTTTGGCTCGGGTCTTGTTTTGGTTGATCTTCAGCTACATCAACACCAACCTCTTGTAGGAACCTATCCATCATATCTTTCAGCTCCCTCGAAAGGTTAGAAGAGCGTCTTCTTTCCTGAACATGAGGAGTTACTAAAGTATACCCAAGTTCTTCTAAAAACTTATAACGACTCTTGCTTTTGTGAGGATTAGATGCGCCGTAAAGGACATGACTGTTTACTCCGGAAATACTGGGCAAAATATTGTGGTCGGCCATGTTTGACTTCTCTGGTTCACAGAGTAAGCAGCACACTTCTGGTCTAAAGCATCTACGCCACCTTTGGTAGAATTGTAACAATCTCGGGTTTTTTGGTTTTGGTTTGGTCCATTGCTAGACGTCACTACAGTTATACTGACGTCATTTAATAGCCTTTCTATCTGCTGGGCATTTAAATTCTTACTCATACTGCACCAAAAACCCAAAAATGTAGATATAAAAGATTATTATCAACATTAAATACTTACGTAACTACACTCATGGGGGACCTAGGTCCCGCAACAACACGTGCCTCACAAACTTCCAACGCTAGCACGACGTACGTTTGCACACCAACAGCTTTCGGGAGTCACTGGGAATACTCGAAACCGCGACCGCGTCGCGTTCAAAATATTTGTATAATTTGTAAAAAACAGAGCGCTGGGGGACCTAGGTCCCCCACGAGTGGTGCTAAGGGTTAATGACTTATGCATTGTCAATAAATAAGCCGACACATTTGTAAAATTATTTGTTGGGAAAAATAAATAGTTGTTTTCATTGCTTTGTCAATTAGGTGTGTACTTAGTAGTATTAGCTCAATGGTACTGCCTGACAGCTTTAAAATTGTCACATTCAAAATAATTTAAATGTCGCCCTGATAATAAACAATATCGCAAAGCAAAATACAAAATAAATTTAATTTAATTTTTCTAAGATACAAAAATGATGCCAAAAATCTATTTATCGAGGTTGATCAAATCGTGGTTTTATAAAAATGTGATTTCAAGTATACACTTTCCCAAGCAAAAATAATATTTTATAATATAACAGTAATGTTGAGAATTTATATTTAAAACATACATACAATGTTTGGGGCAAACCGGCATGTTATCTTCAGACCGATAAATGTATATTTAACAGGAATTACGCTTTGTTATTGTTTTGCTTGACAACTGTTTTAATTAACCGAGGTTTTCCCCTAGTCACCGGGGTCTTGGACTTGGGTCTGTACTGTATATTAAATGCGCTGTGAGAAATAGAGGAAAATAAATATACTTTTCTTAAATAGTTAAAGTCTTGAGTTTTTCCATTTTATTCAGGAATATAAAACATTTCCATATACGTAGCAAAATTTTGTAGTTTTTGTAAATGTTACAATTGATCAATAATAATATCTTATGGCGCCTATTTAATTTAATTCAAACTATATGAAATTTAAGACTATGTCAGTGTTGCGATAAATTGAGTAAAGCTAATTTTCTAACTATATCACATACCTGCCTATAAGGAAAATAAGAAATGGGATATAACATTTTTATATGAGCCAAGTAGGTGGAAATCAAAATGCATTATTTGAAAATTAGAACAATAAATAAAATCTAAAATAATTTTAAATATATACTATTTTGTAATTAATTAAGTGAAGTTTGTGTTTCTGCAAAATTTTCAATAAAGATTGAAATAACAAATAATTTTATTATAAATTGGGAATTCGTAAAGTTATTAAAACCAATCCATTCATTTTTTCCTGTGAGTTGTTATTTGTTCTGAAATTCCTTGTAATTTTGTTTCTGTATGTTATTTTGACAGACACGCAGATAAGTGTTCCTGTAATATATATCTAATTTCCTTACATTATATGTGTTATTGACGTAAATAACTCTATCGTAATCTGAGTTTTAAAAGGAAGGAAAATAAAGAATTTTCTTTGACGTTATTATTAAGAGTCATATGAATAATTAAATTAGAACTTCTAAAGTATGTTATCGTATTTTATCACAAGGTAATTAATAGATAAGTGTATCAATGGCAAATTATGTTTTATAATATATAATGTCCTTGGTTATATTATAGTGTGATAGAGTAGTGATGATTCATGATGATGATACTGATCGACATTATATGAGCACGCGTCATGACTGGCGTCTTCAATTTGTTTACAAACCGGTTGCTGCCGGTGTAATTTTAAATGTCTCGTGCGAACTTGCGAAATTATTTCAATATATAATCGTTCATAACTCTTAAACGAGTTTATTAGGAAATACAGATGCGTTAAATATTTTCCTGGATTTTTTGTTACCTCTGCGGTTTATTTAAGAATTCTGTTTGATTATATAACTGTATTTCTTATAGTAAAATTTTCAACCATCAAGAAGAATATTGTCTGTTTGTTTTTACATTTTAGCCTATGTCATTGGCGTATGATTTGGCTCCTAGTGGGTGAAATATTTTTTCTTTATATCAAAAAAAAAACATCGTAGCCTCGTTAAAGTTACAAGATATCGATAACTCGAAATGAGTTTAAAGTTCACACAAATATTCAAGTTATCAGTAGAGTAATTAACAAGTGGCATTACAGATTACACTAGAACGCGTGGTACGGGCTCGTGGTATCGTGATTTTTCGATGTAATTGCAAACATTAATCACTTAATTGGTGGGTACATTGATGGTAATGTTCCTAATGATATGTATCCTAGATAACAATGATATTTCTAAATTTGTTTACGTCTTTGAGCTACTATGTATTCGACTGTATAGTTACATACGCTACTTATACTGTTCCTGTAGGATTTTTAAGATAAACATGAAGATTCTTATTACTTATCCAGAAATGTAATCATCATCATCACCAGCTTATTAATATCCTCACTCCTGGAGCTCAAGACTTATAAGAAGAATGGGTCGTGACCAACCACGCGGGCCCACTGCGGATTTGTGGGTGCTAACAACTGCCGATGTAGGCGGGACCAACTTAACGTTAGCTTGGAGGAGCTCGAAATAATAAATTTTTGGTCAGCC